TACTTTTGTAGCATTAGCACACCAGTACTACTTTTGTAGCATTAGCACACCAGTACTACTTTTGTAGCATTAGCACACCAGTACTTCAGGTTTAGTCCCACTCATCTAAACTAATGTCGTGTATGGTGAAAACCCTCCAGGTTGCAGCTATCCTTGCAGCCACTTCATGTTTTCTTTTTCGCTGTGGGACTTCCAGGTGCTTGCAGCTGTTCTCAATGTCTACAGTGTCACCTTCTGGTAGTGGAGTCTCCTCAGGCCTGATTACCTTTCATTATCATTGAGCCTCTATTTCTCAGTTGCCTGCAGTGAAGTTGGACCCCTTCCAAACATTACACAAGTCCCATTAGAGATGGGGCAGAACAGGTAGCTTGGAAGCCAAACAATGAAATGTACAATGGAATGGTGGGGGCTGGTAGAGGATAAGTATGAGAATGGAAAACTAACTTCTCAGAACAACAATAACATGCATTCACACCTCAACACCATAAACTCACGTGACAAGCAACAGGGGTGGGTTTGTGGTGAAAGTTTCTACATCCAGATGAACAGAATCAACTTTCGGGGAAACTGCATTTTTCACAGTTGGTCTAATGTCCGTCACTGGTCACCTGGTCTATCAATTTCTCGTTGAAGAGCTGTGAGCTTCTCCAAGATCTTATCCATAATGCGTTCAATGAGCACAGTCTGAGTACTCATGGCCCTTCCCATCGCTTCGATCAATGCAGCCAGTCTTGTGGGGTTTTGAACAGCTGTAACGGCTTTCTTCAATAAGCCAGAGCCCAGCCAGTTCCAATCAGCAGGAACCCTGTTATCATGGCTCTTAATAGGTATAAATCTCAATCGACAGTCCTTCCAGGCATACAACGCACCAATTCCTTCACCCGTCCATTGTGTATCCGACAGGAAACGTCCCTGTAGGACTGTTGGGCTCTTCCGAACCCAGGCTGCTTGCCGAAGAGAGTGTGTCAATTGCATTAAGAGACCAGTCAAAATCTTGTTGGCTGAATTTTGGGGGGGGGGGGTCACCCAAAGGACAGTGAGAGTGTAAAGAAGTATCCAATTGGCAGTTTGCTTCAATGCTTACAGTTATGCAGAATTAGGAATGCTCTTTGTGACAGGTGGGTACTGACATGCATGGCTGCAGCTGCCAGCTGTCTTCTAGGCTTCACCTCTGCTAATCCTGCATCTCTGAACTGGACCTCGTCAGTATTTGGGGTCTCATAAGCTCTCCTGTGATATTTAGTTTGCATACTTGGATTATTCAAATAAACTTTATATATTATGCTAAATCTATACAGATTTTTCTACATCAGATATGATAGTACGAATTAGTCAACCTGTATTAAAGTCTCCCTCTACAGCCTGTTGTTTCATAGTTTCAGCAATGAAATTAGATTTAAAAATAAACATAGATGACATTCTGTCCCCTAGGCATCCACCATGATCCCGCTGTCTACAGTCATTCAGTAACACTCAGAACAATATGATGATCACCGGATAATGTTAATAAATATCTTTTCCAAAATATGAAAGTTTTCTACATGTCCTAGTTCAGTGGTCCCCAACCTTTTTTGCGCCACGGACCAGTTTGTGCCCGACAATATTTTCATGGACCGGCCTTTAAGGTGTCGCGGATAAATACAACAAAATAAAACTAGTACCGGTACCGAAAAAAAGATTTATTCATAACACAACCAGAAAAACAGAGTTAATGGAAAAAAACGATAACAAAAAAAAGCTAAAAACCAATAAAAACCCTGAAAACCATAAGTTTCACACCCGAGTCTCGGCCTGGGGGTTGGGGACCGCTGTCCTAGTTTACATTATGAAAGAATTTATTATGAGTGAGAATCTCTTGATAGTCTAATACTTTCCCGCTAAACAGTCATCTTCTACTTCGGTTAGGTTTATTTTAACATCCGTTTATTAAAACGTATGTTTTGCTTTTTTTTATTTTTTACTGCAATTCTGTTAGAGTAGCTTTTACTGTTTAGTGCTTTTAGTGTAAAAACAACCTGGTTGTTAAAACTAAGATAAGGCAGACGCAGAGAAACGCAGACGCAGAGAAACACAGACGCAGATGCAAACGCTGAAGAATCTACAATGGCAGAAGCACAAATGAAAATGGTCACCAGACCCAAGAAAAAAAAAGTGCAAAAAAACAAAAAAGTGCCTGAGGAGCAGTTACTCGGGCATATATACTCGGGCTCTTCTTGATTCGCAAAACAGCATGGCTGAGCCCTAAAAATTAAGAAATGCAAGAAAACACTTAAGCAACTTCTGTAAGAGGAAACCCTGAATCCTTCACTATTTCAGAAGCAAAGGAGGACATGAATATGGACACACAGGGAAATGTGAATAACCCCAGCGGACAAAACCCTAGGCCTAATGGAGGGACTATTTCAAATTTAGATTTCATAAGGACAAAGGCCAGTATAATCCATGGGACAAGATTTCTGCTCTCAGACAGCAACTGCAAGCTTCCCACTATCATCAGAACCAGCTTTTTTTGGAAACTGGAAGTTGCTAACAAGGTTGCTTTATATTACCAAACTGGATGATGTGATCCTTTCCCTGCAGCAGCAAATCAGCCACCCTGCAACAGAGCGGAGTCTGCCACTCAAACCACAGAGGCTTCACACACAGACTTTGTAAGCCTGAAATCTTCTAAGGAGGTTGAATTTGAGGTCCAGTGCAAGAATCAACAAGAACAGAAATGCTCCAGCAACAGCTCCTAGAAGCTCAAAATCAACTGAAGGAGCAGTCAGTTAAACATAGGTAGGATCAAGAGACACTCAACACAGAAATCAGGGACCTTAAATCCCAGCTCTGCTCCAACAAGGCCCTTGATGATTTGAAGGTAGAGACTCTTGACCGAGAGCTGAAAGAAGACTCTTTAGAACAAATTGAAGACAGACAGAAAATTATTGCTACCCAGCTGGCTGAACTCTAAACTGAAATTAAGACCCAGAGAAAAAAAAACAAAAAAGAAGCAAATCTGACTGCTTCAACTTATAATTCTGTTCATTTTATGAGTATATCTTTCTTGATATGACTGCTTGAATGTAGATCAGGAATCAGGTGAGCATCAAAATGTAGGTAAAAACAGGACTTTTATGCACGAACATTTTAAGACAGAGCTCTCACAATCCGCACATCAAACACATCTCTGTTCCTTACACTTTATGCTTTTTCTCAAAATCTTCTAGGTCAGGTGTACGTTTCCCACTTTCTAAATAATCTCAATGATTCCTGATTATGACACAAAAAGTACCACAGATAATAAGCTCGTTTGGCTCTTGGCCAAGGCGGTCGCACTTTTCTCCTCTCCTCTCCTCTCCCTTATCTTTCCTGCTTAGCTCTTATGTCCTTGTCCTTTACAATCGTAAATGGCAAATGTCTGGGATATAGTTCCAAGAAGGCGAAAGAAAGTAAAAAAAAAAAAAAGCAAAACAGACTTTGGAAAAACCGATTAATCATTTGGATACAGTGGCTTGCAAAAGTATTCGGCCCCCTTGAACTTTCCCACATTTTGTCACATTACAGCCACAAACATGAATCAATTTTATTGGAATTCCACGTGAAAGACCAACACAAAGTGGTGTACAGGAGAGAAGTGGAACGAAAATCATACATGATTCCGAACATTTTTTACAAATAAATAACTGCAAAGTGGGGTATTGCAGTATTACAAAATTCATGTGCACATGTTGTTTCTCCGTTTAACAGGTGTAAGCTACATTTGTGAGTGTATAAAAAAACTAATAGAAAAAGACTCATGGAGTCATGACAAACCTGATGTTAGAATTTTTAAAAAATAGATCTTATAACTTGTTTTGACCAATCGGTTATTTCATATGACCATTGAAAGTTTATCCAAGCTGTACCTTTTGAAGTTTCCTCCAGTGAATTAAAAACAGATGTCATCCAAGGTACCCATGTTTGTTTCTGTTAATCTGTGTCATGGTGCAACTTTTGCCCCCCAAAACATTGTTTTATGGGTGATTTTTATGAAGAATTATTCTTTTTTGTACCCAAAACTAAGCTCTTTATATTGACTTTCTTGTTCACTCAAACAAACACTCATGCACCACCTTGCATGGTAGTTCCATAACGAGGTGTTCACCTGCCATTGGGAGCAAGCTGGGGTTCAGGGTCTTCTCCAAAGACACTTCAAGGGCTTCATTTGGCACATCCTGATAATAGCTTTTTCTAAAGCTTTTTCCGAGCACGTGCCAAGTGCTTTCTCAGAGATAATATTTGGAATTACCTCTTTAATGTTTTAAAGTCTTCACATTATGAAGTGCCCTGAGATTAGTGACTTGGTGAATTGTTATTAATGTGATACACAGTAGCAAAAGAATAGCTCTACCACATGGCTGTAGCTCAGGTGGCACCAGGTTATCTACTAACTGGAAGGTTGGTGGTTCAGTCACTAGCAGCTCCAGATATCCTTGAGCAAGACACTAGCCCCAAATTGATCGCTGACCCATCCGTCAGAGTTTGAATCATAGCTAGAAAGCACTTAAGCATAGCAAAGGGTGCTCAGAGTAGAAAAGTGCTGTTAAAAACACAAACAAAATTTACCATGAATTACTGTACTTTGAGTGTTTTTATTTTGGAGCAGGGAAAAGACAAATTCAAGCTGTTTACTTTTTGATGACTTCTTTAGGAATTCAAAATGGCTCTTGAATAATATTAAGATATATTTTGTGTTCAGTTGATTATTTGTTAATCAGTGTTATTTGCTGCACCAGCAGAATATGAATGTGATAT